CGAGGTCTAGGCTATACGCTGTCGGGGGACTTTTTTCGCCAATTCAACATTTTTCAACATTAATTGTTTTGCTTGCTCGTAAATTAGGTCGATACATAATTTCTTCTGGTTTTTGCAAGCTTTTTCGGTCACGCTGTTGAAACATTTTTGCCTGGTCGATGCATGTATCGTGAAAGGCTTTTCCTGCTTTACAAAACTTCTTGCAGAATGGACATCGGGTCAACAAAACGCAACACTTTCAGCGATTTCTATTGTTTACTTTTAAACAAGGGCAAAATATTAGCGAATGTCATGTCTATTTGCCTCATAGAAGATGTCTTTTTCCACACTATCATCAAAGATGGATTCTAATTGAATTTTGACTTTTCAATATACTTCGCAATCAGCAGAAGGCCATCCAAGTTTGATGGAACCACTTGCAGGGGCTTCAACCTTTGCTATACTCTACATCTAGCTTCAAATAGTTTTCATCCTTTTCCCACTACTCTCCAGTTCTATTCAGGGTGTATAAAATTAGCTTATCAATTTTTTGTATACATATTGTTGGAAAGGATGGGAACAGGTGTTGTGGATGATTACCGCTTTCGACTATATTATTGTTATTTCATACAAAACGGTTTCTGTACAAATTTTAGGCAGTCTGGTGGATAATTTTAGAAAAAACTCAGTTGTGAAGCTGCTGTTTCCCGTCTTTTTACGGTTCCACTTTTTGGCTCAAAACCCAATTTAGAGTAAGAAATGTTGGTCAACGATAAAAAAGGTTCTGTGAAGCAGGAAAAGCGCCAGCATGTACGTTATAATCGCGGCTGAAGAACTGCAGAACAAAAATGCATGAACTTATGTAGTGACCTAATAGATAATGTGTTCAGACTATAATTTGAAAAATCGGAATTTTGGGCTTATCTTCACTTGATGTAAGATAAACACTCTATTGGACTGAAGGACGCATGCAGCGTATAATTACAAAGAAGAAGGGTAGAAACTTGAGCAGGCTAAGGATTTTTTTCTAAGGAATCTTCCGGAGCCATTGATGACATTCGAGCAGCATAGTCTATTTATCAATGCAGCCAAAATGGACGATCGACGTACTCGGGTCGATCACATCCACTATTATGTTCACAAGCTGCCGCCCGCACATAAAGCCATGCTTGAAATTGTTATTCGCCATTTGAGAAGGTATTTATTTTAAAATTTTGAGTTTATACGATCGTTAAGAGAAGTATTTCAGAGTTGCGGATCGCTGTAGCGAAAATCTTATGACGGTAGGTAACTTGGGCGTATGTTTTGGCCCTACCCTTCTTCGACCAAAAGAGGAAACAATGGCAGCTATAATGGATATCAAATTCTGTAACGTTGTGGTTGAAGTATTGATTGCACATTGTGAGCAGGTTAGGGATCTTGCTTGCTTTTTTTTACTATCAAATGGCTTTTTTTTCAACCTTGGCAGTCGTAGCTTAGCTTTTGAGCTTCTTTAGATATAAAATAGTCGATAATTACAGATCTTCGGCACTGAGCCCCCAAAATCCATAGGACAACCATGTCCACCGAAGCCAGATCATCGTACTATTCATCAAGAAACAAGTCAGCCAGTTATGTCAATCGCGTGAGTGGGAACACTTCTGATTTGAGTAAAATTGACAACCTTCTTTTCAAAAGTTGTGATCGTTAGGCTCCATAAAAATGTTCTTTAATAGCTAAAACTATTCTTGGATCAAAAGTTGGAAGAATCATTTGTATTAGTCTTCTCAAATATAACTTGTGACCATAAGTGGATGCTTTTATTCGTGTCCTTATATGCTCCATTTTTTGGAAGCAGTGTTAGCAAATCTTATAATAAGCTGTAAAGGACATGTCTAAAGAATTTGCCAGCTATTACGATGGGGTAAAGCTTGTATGTTGAGGTTTCCGCCTGTCACAGTGGTTTTGTCATCGCTTTACATGGTTATTTGAAACTCGGCATTGTCTTACTATCATAATGCACTCTTATTTTTCAGTGAGCGACAATCAGACAATGGACGATTGATGCTTACCGCTACATCTTCAGTACAACCTTCTTCAAGTCGCCCGCGGGCAATAATGCCTGCTTCACCAGCAATCCGAGCTCATATGACGGCGTTGGGCTCATCGAACCCCCCACCTAACACAGCTCCTCCATCCAACAGTCACATATACGATGTTCCTGCTGAAGGTTTGTTCGTCCAGTTGTGATCCGTTCAGTTACGCATGTATTAGTGCTTTTAGCATGTTTTGTTGAATATGAGTTGGTTTCTTATGGAGTTATACACTTATACACTTAAGTGTCCCGAATAATCTCATTGGAAAATTTCGACCTTGATCTACCGTTACGTGGAGTTTAGCGTACTGAGTTCTTCAAGTCTTCATTATAAAGACTTCCAGAATAAGGTAGAGTAATCCGCGTGAAGAAATCAAATATCTTGCCATTAGTAACTAGTATAACTCAGAGAATTTATCAGGCAGAAACATATAATAATTTAGGTGAACAACTTAAGGGTTGCATTCAATTTCCAAAATTTAATCTTTCTTAATCGTGAGTTGCACGCCATTTGTCAAAAACATGAATAAGAAAATAATTAGAATAATATCAGAAAAGCCGACAACTTAATTTGTCGATTATATATGTCTATCCATTTTCCCACTGAACTTTTGGTCCTGCAGTGATAGGCAAACAGACTATTTATATTTACACTTTGAAGCGTTTGGCTTACATATTTGGCTAGGAATCATTAATATCCACGTTCTACTAGTAAGCGTTCCTTAGTAAAGAGGCATATTAACGCATTGATGCCCATTTTTTTAAAACAATTTGACTGCTGCACAGTTGATGGCCTTCTTATTCTTATGAGTAATTTTGACGCATTATAAGAGTATTAAATTCACTTGTAGCGTGATGTCTTATTGGAAGGATAGGTTAAAATGCGAAAATAATGCATCATCTACTTCTACAGCAAGTTGAAGTGCAAATTTTGCACAGCTTTCAAACTACGTTAGTAAGAGGTTCTGATAGAAATAGGATAAGTTTTTGTGTTAGAAAGATGTGACACTTTAGTTTATGACAGTTTAACTTTGTTGTCCTACAGTAATCAAAATTTTTCTCTTTGACATATTTTTATTCTCGTCATGTTCACTACCACATAATTACAAAAGTTGATAACAACTGAGGTTTTTCTCAAGGGCTGATTGAGAAGTGCGCGATTGAAACTTCTATGTTGCTTAAAGCAGTAAATTTTCGAGAACCATACTAAGTGGAGCATTTTTAGTCAAAACTTCGAGTTTACTATCCGCTTAATTCGGTCTGTACAGCTCGGAGCATCGTTTTTCGGTCTTCTGAAGGCTCATAACTTTTGCCTTTTCTTATTGTTTTGAATGCTTCAAAACCATCTTTTCGTCTATGTTGTCCTTCAAACAAAAAAAGGGTTTTTGCAAAAAAAATTACGTTATTACGATTCAGCTCCGACATCCACTTCCAAACTCTTGCCATCGTATGGAGCGCCGAGCACTTCAGCTGCAACTACGCCAACGACACCACCACAAGCGGCGAGTAGTGTAGCGCGGATTCCTGCGATAACCGCAGGAGCTTCGTCGTCACGGTCACCACGTTGTGAAAGTTCTGATTCGCTTAATTCATTGATCAGCGGCGGTAGTGACAGTCCAAAGACAAGCAAAGTGTCAATCGAAGGAGCTAAAGGTTAGTGTTACCTACAACTTACCTTTTTTGTTTGAAGAACTTGCACTACACATTTTTTTCTGAATTTATTATTGTTTTAACACCTTCCATCCTCAGAAGTACAGTCTTCTCATTTGGAACGTCATACTAAAACTATATAGTTTTCATTTAGCAAAGATGAGCACGTCGTACGCGCCCTCCTACAATCCGCTGGCTTGCGAAACGTGAGCTTTTTTTCCTCTTTGTTGACTCTATTATCTAACGTAAGTAGTGCTAACGTCTGCCGTGTGCTCGTGATTCAGAATAACGCACAAGTTGAGCAAACGAAACTCGGGTCTCAACGTTCTCAGTAGTGTAGAGTGAGTTCATCGCAGCATATGGCCGCGTCTCTTTGCGTTGCGTTGCTGCGTGCGTACGTGCGTGATGTTCAGCTGATCGCGATGTACGGATGGCTGCTCGGAATTGAGCTGTGCTTGGTTGAGCTGCGACTTCAATCGCTCTCTAATCCACATTGCCCGTTTCATTGTGCATGCCATGCCGAATCGTGCTTCAAGTATGTGACGGTCACGCGCCCTGAATTCTGCTTCTGTGCATGGCTGTGCGGTGTGTGGTGAGCGTGCGTGTGCGTGGCGGCGACGTGCGG